TTAGAGATACTAGAAAAGATCTTTGTAGAAATCCTTGAGAATCTGAGAATCTTTGTTGAAATTCAAGAAAAGTTTTTGAGAAGAAAACCAAAGCCTAGGAAGAAAAAGGAAAAGAAGAAGATAAAGAAAAAGAAAAGAGAAGACCTTTATATCCAGAACATAGAAGAAAATAAATTCAGGTGGACTATACAAGACTCTGAAACAGAAAGACCAAAAGAAGGCCCAAGATTTTTTAAAGAAAAGAAAGCTTACAGAAGAGTATCAGCAGAGAAAGATCACAGAAAAAGCTCCCAAGAAGCAGGAAAGACCACGAAGCTATGAAACATAAGGTTCTAAGAAATAGGTCTTTAATTGAAAAGGACAGGTTTAATTGGAAGAAGAGTAAAAGGAAATGCAAATATAAACAAGAGATTTCTGCAATAACCCTTTATTGAGAAAGAAGATAGAATTGTTTATTAATAGAAGATTAGTTTTAGTTTATGATAAAATGAAAATATATTAGAAGGGAAAAATTGCCAATTTAGTTTAGTTAAAAATCTCTTTAAATCGAAACCATCTTGTTATAGTTTTATCAGCTAGCTTGATGCAGCTCTCTGGTACAGGCAATAGCCTTAACCGGTGAGGCAAACTGCACCCGGGCGCCCATAGAGGAAGCGAGTGATGTCAGATCTATAATTTAGATAGTTTATAATATAACTGTACATTAGCTTTGATCTAATAAAGATACCGGCAAGGCTGCCAATAAGGAAAAAAAAAAAAAAAAAAAACAATTAAGTGTGAGAAAAATAAAAAATATGAATTAGTAATTGATCTTACTGATTAAACAGTTTTACAAAAAATAGATGCTTATATCAAGGTTAATAATACTTATATTTCTATGGAAAAAGCACTTGATGACAACCAAATTATTGAAACCATATTAGCAGAACAATTAAAATATGATCAAGATGATCTGAATAGCTCTGATGAAAAGCTACCAAAAATTTCTCCTGCTAAAGGATTAAATAGATTAAAAACTTTTATTTTATTTGCTAAACAAATAGATAATAATTTTTCTTCAATAATAATAATTTAGCAATATTTCAAAAGTATATACTATTAACGAAACAAAAAATAAATAAGTTCATGAAGCAGTAATCTATTAAATATTTTTTTAAAAATGAAATTCAAATTATATATAATAATAACTTTTCTAATAATAATTATAACTTCTCTGATAATAATGTTTCTGATAACTACTTCACCAAAAATAACTTCTCTGATAATATCTTCTCTGATGATGACTTCTGAGATTATAACCTTTTTGATAATAACTTTCTTGATGATAACTTTTCTAATAATAACTTTCTTAAAAATAATGATAGCTTTTCTAATGATGGCTTGTAATAATAAGTTTCTTATTATGTTGGTTATCCTGATAACTATAACAGTTTTACTGATTTTTATAAAAATGAAAAAAATATTTAGAATAGTTATTGAATATTTTATAAAATAGGTAGACAAACTTCACAAACTCTGCAACTCTGCTATTAAAAAATTAATGATTATTAATCATTAGTGAAGCTTATTTTTTATATTGGCCATCTATTCTATAGAATATTCTAGTTATTTTTTGTTATAAACTCTTTGATTTATAAAAAGATCAAATTATAATAATAGTTTATAAAAAATATATATTATCATTTTGAAATTAGTTAATTATTATAAATTGCATATAGTGTGATATACTTGAAGTAAATAATACTTAAAATAATATTTCTAACACAGTATATATCACTAATCTAAAAAAATAATAAATGCTTTATCAAAGCTAATATTGCCTGACAAATAACAAAACAGTTTCAACTCAATAAATGATGAAGCTATTTCTAAATACTTAGTATAATTGAGCTGAAAAAATCTAAGTTGCTGACTTTTTTTAATTCTTTAATCAATTCTTTTTAATAATATTTTTTTAAATATTTTAATTTAGGCAAATTGCTTTCGTCAAGATAATTTCAATTTGGCGATTAATGAATAATGAAATTCATAACAAATAACACAACTCATAACAAATATAAATTTTATATAACAAATGTAAAAAATATTAAAAAAAGATAATTTATTCTTTTTTTTTTGAATATTAATGGTGAGACCATGTCTCTGTCTTTATTGAAATTTAATTAAAATCTTTTATACAGAAAAGAATTACACCTTAAACTTCATATCATATGATAGCAAGAAAAGAGACTCAGACTAGTTTATCTGCGGCCTAAACCAAAAGATAATTTATTCTTTAAGATGTCATTAAAAACTAGTTAATAGAAATTAATTAGTTTATGTGAACTTAACTTGTTTTGTTTATATCTATTTTTTTGATATCTTTATTTAAAATTATCTAGAAATATCTAATCAGAAGAAACTGATGAAACTTTATAAGAAATAACTGAAATTTTAATAAAAATTTAAAATTCAAAATATCCAAATATGTATAAAGGAGCTTGTTGAAAAATAGACAGCTACAATTTAATATTTTATTAGTTAAATTAATTTTGTCAAAAAATTTGTCAATCATCTGTAGTTTTATCAATCACCTATAGTTTTGTTAATTGTTAAGTTTTCACTAGAAGAAACTATAGATAAAACTATTTTATTTATGCAAAAATAGTTTTATCAAGCATTATTAGTCGAAATCATAAAACCTTAATTACTTATGAAACATTTATTAAAAATAACAAAAATGTGTCAGGCAAATGAAGTGAGCTATATGAATATAATTAAATTTTGTGTATTAAAATATTAGAATAAAATTTAGTGTAAGCAGTTCTATAGCAAAGTTAGTATAAGTTTTATTGCAGTAGATATATTCTTATAAATTAATGTGATTATATAAAATAATATTATATATATATATTATTTACAAAAAGCAAATTGTGATTATATATAGATATTTTATAAATAAAAAAAATTAAATTTAAAATTTATGTGATTATATAAAGGTTGTAATTATATAGGAGGTGATTATAGAAAAAAAAACAGTAGTAAGATTGATAAAATTGGTCTAATAGTTCTTAAGATATCTTAACTTTTTTCTTTCTATATATATAAAATTTCTTTACAATTTTATAAAAAAATTTTATATATGTAAAAAGAAAAAGTTAAGATATCTCAAGAACCACCAAACCAATTTATTAATCTTACTATTATTATTAAAATTACAAAAATAGGCTTTATAACTTTTGTTAGAACTTGAAGAAAGATTAACTTAGTAAAAAAATAATTTTACTTTGAGGCAGCTACAGATTCTACTCTATTATAAAACTCATATAAAATTTGCCCAAATTTTATTATAATAATACTACTAATCTTATATAAATTACTACTTAATCTAATTTAAATTTGATTTAGGTTTATATGAACTTGATTTGATTATATAAACTTAAATATTAAGTTGATTTTTATTTCTAATATTATAAAAGATCAGCAAATATATATTTTTTTTTGAATATTAATAGTGAGACCATGTTTCTGTCTTTATTAAAATTTATTTAACTCTCTTACAAAGCAAAGAATATATAACTCTCTTACAAAGAAAAGAGAATATAGCTCTTATACAAAGAAAAGAATATATTTAAACTTCATATTCTAAGATAGCAAGAAAAGAAACTCTGACTAATTTATCTGCAGCCTAAACCAAAAAGATCAACAAATATATATGTACTTTTATAAGTATAATATTACAAGTTTATATAAGGTTAAAGTCTAGTCTATAATCTAAAAAAAAATACTTATAGAAATCTAATCCTGATTTTTGAAAATTTTCATTTTGTATAATTTAGATCATATATTATTCCTATATATAGCAAATATTTTTAGAATAAATATATATATCACATACTGCGATATGTTTATATATTATATATAACAACTAAAATAAACTGTGATTATTTTGTTTGGTTAGGGTTCATACTAAAATTTTGCAAGGAATTTTTTTTGTTAGAGTGCAAAAGATAGTTTTATATATGAAATTTTGAGTTATAAGCGACTTTTGTCAAAATGAACATTTGTTTTGAATCTTTCTGATTGTACTATGTTACACCTAATCTTGAAATTTGATTGATCAATCATCTTAAATGCAATATATAAGCACATCACAGATTGCAATGCCTAATTAAGTCCATATTTTTATTTAGAAATTTAAAATAGATCAATAAAATTTTAAGTAAATTTAATTTATTTTTTGTCCAGAATGCTTAAAAGTGTATTCTGTAACAACACACAGAGAAAGTCTCTAGACACCTACCGTTCATGTGATTTGCATATTTTATAATGATCAACATACTGATATTAAATTATTTTTTCTATATATTTGTATATTTGAAACTAGATTTGTCATCTTAATACTATAAATAGTTTGAGTTATTTGACTAGCATAGCAGAAGTTTGTTTTAATTGTTGTTGAGATACTTGGAAAAATTGTCAATCATACTCTGAATAGAATACTGGCTAATCCCGGATAAAATTTTATTACTCACAAACTTTTAAAAAATTAATAATTTAAAAAGAGAATAATACTCTAAAAAATATATTATAATGTTATAATACACTAATTCAGTTTTATAATAATAGCTTTAATTTAGATTTTACAAAGTTTTTATTTTTTTTGAAATAAATACATATAAATGTCTATTAAATAATGCATACACAACATTCCTAAACACTATTACTACTATCACTTATTGTATTATAAACATCATATTCAAAAACTATACTTATATATCTAAATAATAAAATACAATAAAAAAATATTAAAAATATAGTTCAAAATATGGCTTAGAATAATAGTTCAAAAATACTTTTTATTTATAAAAAAAACAAACATAGTTGAAGCAGAGTTTCTAAATTTTACTTACTAATTGGTTAGACCACCAAACTACCTTCTGACCTTTAAAAATATTCATATCTCATCTAGTTTTTGGAGCTACTGCATTTTATTACATCTCAGGTTAAAAAATGATAAGTTTAAAGGTAAACTACCAACAACTCAAGTTAATTGTTATATTTTGTATTACAAAAAAAAAAGTTTATATGGCTTACAATGATTTTTACTACTTTAAAAATTACAATTGATTATATAAAAAAAAATCGTCGCCAATCATATTTATTTTTATATCAACCAATTAAAACAAACTTCTGCTATACTTATTTGACCTTTTTGTAACTTGAATATGGGATCTACAGACAAAATTTTCTTGCAATTCCAAAAAAAGAGGTCGTCTAAAGCGGGGCAATTTCACATAATCACAGCCAATCAAATTATAGTATTTTGATGATCATCGGCAAGAAACAAAAATGAAAAACCCAAAAAATAGAGAAAACGGCAGTCTAAACCTGGATACATCTATGTGCCCACCACCCAAAATAGAAATGATTGGCATTATTTATATTATTTCAATACGTATTTTAAAAAAATACTGTTAATTAGTGTTAGGGTTAGTGTTAAGAAGGTAAGAGTAGAGCTTTAGAAAAAAAAATATACTAAAATTTCGCAAGGAATTTTTTTTTGTTAGAATGAAGAAGTTAGTTTCATAAGCAAAATTTCAAGATAAAAGTGATTTTTTAAAAAAACGTTTAATTTTTTTAATTTTAACGGTACACACAGATCGTTCGTGTAAATTCGACATGATGAACACTGATTGGATAAAAAGCGTGATTTCCAAATCGGGCGGTGGGTACATAGATGTACCCAGTGTTGTCAATGGACATGGATATGGACATGGACAGTCCATGGACATGGACGTCCATGGACATATAAAAAATATGGACATGTCCATGTCCAAATTATGGACATGGACATTGGACATTGTTTATGGACTGTCCATGGACTGTCCATGTCCAATAATTTACTTGGACATATGTCCATGTATAACACTGGATGTACCCGTCTAAACCTACATCAGATAAGTTAAGAAAAAATGTCAGGAAGGCAATTTTGTTTATATAAAACAACCTAAAACCTAACCTAATCTTAATATAAGATGACCCTAACCCTAAAGTTAATTGAGAAAATTATTAAATATAAGGTCACGTGAATTTGCCCGCTTTAGACGTCCCCCAGGAAAGGAAATTTCCAACCATCATTTTTGTATAAATTATATGATAGAGAATTCGAATGTGAATGTGAATGTAAATGCGAATGTAAATGCGAATGTAAATGAGAATGTTAATGAAGAATACCAGCGGTATTCTATACTTTTGTCTTTCGAGTAGCAACAAAAAAACGATGGTGGAGATAAAAAGACTTCGTACTCATTATGTCATTAACACTAAGACGTTTTTTTATTTTTGCCTGATTTTTTACTGTGACAGATGGATTGATAATCACTGATTGTCAAAGATCATAAAAATGTTCGCAGCGAAAAAATTCGATCTTTACTAAATTCAAAATTTTTTTTCAGTCATCAGAAAGAAAAAAAACATCAATTATAATAGAAAAACATAATCAAAACTAGTAAAACCAAGCTGCTATGTAAATCAGATTATAGTGAAATCAGTATTTAATCACGTACATGTGTCTTCATTTTTTAATGTAGTTACGTAAATTTATTTTAAAAAAAATGTTTTTTTTTTGTTATAACTGTGTTATTAGTCAAATTGTAACTCATTCATAGTAGATATTGCGTTATGCGTGACCTTCGGCCACGGTATTCTACGTAGTAAATAATTTATTAATACAATAACAAGTACTTATTTTAAACTCACGTGAATAATAAAAACCAATAATTTTAAATTATCCGATGATCGGGCTTATCAAATAACTATATATAATGATTCCGGGCAGTGAAGCCGCCCACATTCACATACTCTAGTTATTATTATAATTATATCTGTATATTAAGTTACCACTCACGATATGTCACATGTAAAATTTATAATACAAAATCAAATGTTCGACGCCATTACATGTAAAATTTAATAATAACGAAGTTGTCAGTTTAATTTCTGAGTATAAGTTCGCAAATTCTCTAGCATTCGAAAGTTCTTCTCATGAAATTTTAGGGGTAGTTAAAACTAAAATGGAGATTAATAAGGGTCACGAAGTTGGCCAATTTTTGTGTAATAAGGAAACGTCAACTAAATAAATTTGATAAGTATCATTATAATAGTTATGCATATTTCAATACCGATGTAATCTAAAACTCGTGATCGCCTGCCGACAATAATTCGGGATTAGTTATAATCTATGTATTCACATTCATGAATATTTTGAATATTTACTATATATTGCATGAATTTAGCACGCCAATCTAAGTATTTAAATAAGCTACTCACGAATGTCTACAATTTAATTCGTATTTGCAAAAATTATATTTAAGTATCGTATAAATAAAAATCTAATTTAACTAATGATTACGTGAAATAAATCTCTGCAGAATTTCTCTTATCACCCGAGTGACCAGGTGACTCACCCGAAGGTGACCCATTGCGGGATTTCTTTTACCACCCGGGTGATCCGGGTTGAGACTTTTGTGACGGGTCAGAACACCACATAAGAATCAATTGTGGATGCTAAAAAAATTTTAATTTGTTGAAGAATGTGATAGAGAAGAGCGAGAAAGATTTATTATAATATATCAATATATATATCAATATTATAATGTTAAATATGATTATCGAATGACAACAATCTTATTTCATTTTTCTTATTTTTTTGTGGCGTAAAATAAGTTGGACTCATGAAATCTGCTTTATAGTGATGGGGCTTCGAAATTGTTTCAGTGTGAAAAATATTACTAAAGGGATCCGAGTCCTTATTAAGACACGATAGTGCTTCTGCTTTGCGAACAATGCTTTCCTAATATTTAAAAAGCATTATAAAAATCCATCATAAATAAATTACGCAGCTCACCCCAAGAAATTTTCTTCGCACGTGGTTTTGACCAATCAGATTTAATTAAAACAATCGAATAAAGTTCTGAAGTTCAAAATTTAAAGTAATAAAACATTATTGTAGAGCTAGGGTTTGGACTAGAAAAGGGTTTATCATATACTAAAATATTGTGAGGAATTTTTTTTTTTTTTTCTAGAACGCAAAAGATGGTTTCATAGACCAAATTTTTTCACGTTACATCTGATCTTGTAATACGATTGGCCAAATCATGTGTTAGGAAAATTTTTTGGGGATGAGCTGTATAACTTGTTTCATACCTTAAAGAAATATAATGCTTCCAAAGTTCGTTTCAGAGCAGTAATATCATTGATTTGAGCAGGAAACCTTAATAGTGGCCCTTCAAACCCGAAATATAATCCATTATCTAATAAGTCAACACCAATTATTTGACCATATAGAGCTAAGTAATAAAATAGAACTAAAAGCATAAATAACAATGAAACATAATGCAATGCGTAATATGTGTTATAATCATACCTGCTAACTGCAATCCAATAACAGCAGAATTTTTGATTATTTCATCGGACAGATTATGTGAAAGATATTTATTAAGAACAGATTTATTTGTTCTCAGACATTTACTGCGATCACTAATAATTTTAGTAGAAGTTGTTCTACGAGCGCACTCAGAATGGCTAAGCTCCACAATTTTTCCTTGATATTTTTCTCGGCATATAACTTGTAAGTCTATTCTTCTTCCAACTGCCGTTGCTTTTGAAACCGTTTCTCCCCTGCAAGTATTTATTATTAGAAACAATAATTGATAAACCTCCTAGAGAAACAATATTTACCATTTAAGATGAACAAGATGTTGAACATCTGAAAATATTATATCTATTATTGGACCTGCAACTTTGAGCACAAATTCAATTTCTGTTAAATTTTGTTTATTTCCTTCTTTATCCACAAAAATGAAGGGGTCTGTTAGAAACATCTCTAAACTAATTATAAATTAAAATCAGTTTACTGTAATAACCAATGTAAATATTACTGCATATTGATATAGTTACATACATAAAAAAATAGATCTTCATGACTTGACGTTGTAAAATTTTAGTTTTATCTGGGCGTCCCTTCAACTTCTCATACACAAAATCTCTTGCTTCCCAGTATTTGTATTCACTACAAAGCTAGATATTGAGAAAAAGGATTCAATTATGTATACATATCAATACCTAATTATAAATAATTTTTATACCTCTTCGATTTTGTTAATATCACTTTCAATTGCGTCTTCAAATTTCTTTGGCTTAATGTTTATTTGCGCCAGGGCCTTTGCTTTAAGTTCTGACCATTCCTCACCAAACCAGGAGCACATACCACCAGAAAATTCAGAAGAAAGGTCAACTATTGACGAAAGACCAAGCCTACATATGTGATTATCGAAGTTAGTGCACAATATTATAAATACAAGAAAAATAAATTATATACTGTATAGTGCTTAAAGTGAATGCATCTAAATTTTCTCCTTTGGATTGTTTTTCCTTTGCTTGTTCAATGGTCTTTGACGTCATATGAACAAGAACATCTCTGACTCTTTTGCCATTCTTCAATGTCCAGCCCTCTCTACCTTTGCTTGATTCTGCCTGTTGATCGAACAAAACTGTGCTAAAATCTATAACATCGTCTTCATCCTCATATTCTTCATTTTCACTATCCTCAACCTCGCTTTTAAGTTGATGTTCAAGGAGGCGTTTCTTAAAATTCTGTAATAACATGTCAGTTACAATTACTAATCAAATCAGAGTTTATCTTAATAGTATACCTTATTTTCCTTATTTTCCTTATTTTCTGATAAATTTTTTACTTTTCGTTTACGAGGTTTCGGAATAGACAGCAACGGTTGTTCCTTTTCGATATCTTGAAAACTATCTTTCTTTTCTAATATTTCTGCATTGAAATTTTCGCGAACAGCATTATCTTGTTTATATACTAATTTTTTTACAGTCGCGCGTTGTTTTAACTAATAAGACGATTCATTAATAATTTTGAATTTGAAAGATAATAAATTCAGAAGGTTATTCTGGAACATACATCATACAGTTTGCTCTTTTTCTCGGCATGTTCTATTCTTTTTTCTATGTTCTGTTTCTTTTCCTCTTGGCTTTTTAATACCCAATAGTCATTAATATTTTTTTTATGTTTTTTGTTCTATCAGAAAACGAGAATTCATATTAATTTGAATTTATGAAACACGCATAAAGTTTACTAAGTATACCTCTAGAGTTTCCTTTATTTTGGAAGCTTTGGAATTTAATTCTTGATCTGAGCTCGAGTGCATATATTCCAAGCACTTGTTTAACACAAAATGAGCAATTTTTTTATCACGATACACAAAATTATTGTATTTAAAAAAGCCAATTGCAGAATATTCACTACGTTTTTTGAGAAAGTATGGTAAGTAGTTCTGAACGTGTTTTCCCATCAGTATGACCGTGAAGATGCACCAATCAGATCTCTTCTAATCAGCGACGCCAATAAGATCTCCGGATCTTTTAAACTAACTCAAAATTTTGTCTATGAAACTACCTTCTGCGCACTAATATAAAAACTTTTTTGCAAAATTTGGGTATAAAATAAGTTTCCTTATGTCATTAACATAACCCTAACATAAGGTTTTATGACTTTAAAAATATTACACATATTCGTTTGTTTTGATTAGTGTAGATTCCAATGTTGTCACGGGACAGTTGTGGACAGTAAGTTTGGACACTTTGGACAATTTTAGACAATTAATAAATTAAAATTACTCAAAATTTTATTAAGATAACCTATATTATTTTCTAAGTAAAATATGTTCAGCGTCTAAAAAAAATATATAATTACATATTTTTTAAATTATTAAAGCTTGAACATGCTCTGAACTGGTGTAGATCACAACAGGATCATATGGGGTGCGTCAAACCAAACACGGCTTATGGCATTTTTTGCAAAGATGAGTTAACTATACGATCATATAAAGTAGGCTTGATATTTAAAATATTGATTTACATAATAAAATTTTTGTTGATGCCTTCTTTTTTAAATCTTGTATATAGTTAGCCGTGATCTAAAATTAAAAATCAGATTGTCAATTCTTGTTGCAGGGACTTCCACTATCAAATTGGGGGTCATTTAAAGCAAGGTGTGTTAGAGTTACTTTTTTTGATGCGGTTAGGGTTACGTTTTGATGCAGTAATGATTAATAGTTTATCAGTTATGTAAACATCAAGAAGATAATTTATGCAGCATGTAGATCATTTGAGTGTCGCTAAAAGAAAACCCGAAAATTTAAATATGACTTAAGGAAGGGGGGGGTATTATGACACAGGTGGGTATTGTGACGCATTCACGTTTTTTGATGATATCTCGTGATACACTGATTAGAATTAAGTAATTTTGGTATTATACGATTCCTCTTACTGAGATGAATCAAATGATATTAAATTCGTTTTATTTGAAGCGATAGAATTCGAGTTACAAC